ATCTGGCATATCCCCCAGTTTAAGCACTGAAAGGCCTGTGTCCTGAGAAGTTAGTTGGCCTCAGGCAAACTAGGAAGGAGAGTCACGCTTTGTTTTGCATCACAAATACCACTTCTGAGAACTTATTCTGCAATAATACTATTTATAAATGTTTATTTATAAATATCCAATGGAGTAGCTAAACAAATTATGTCACATCGGCATGATAAAATATTCCAAAGTCATACAGTCAAAGTTAAAACACACAGTTAGAAAGGCTATATATCTATCTTGCCAAAATGTCAGGTAAAAATAAGGTTATCAAATTGTAGATGCAACTGTATCAATGCTAAGTCATGTCAGGTCATATCACAAAGACTGGCACAAGGCCCAGAAAACTATAAACTGTGATAGAAAAGACAATTTTGGTGGTAGAAAAGACAATTTTGTTCTTTTTTCTAATATTTAACTTTCTGTTAATGCCAAATGAGATCTACAGTAAGCAAGCAAGCAATAAAACACAAGAAGCTATAAACAACAACACTCACAAACCACGGCAAACACAGGGCCTAGTCTTCCCCTGGGGTTCTGCTACCTATACCCACCTCAGCCAGCTTGTTGAAGCCCTGTGAGTGGCCCTCCTGCCGTTCCACTTGGCACTTCTTGGCATAGCGGCGGTTTCCATCCATTATAAATGCAATGTGTTTGGGCATTGGCCCTGCCTGTGAAGCAAGGTGACAAGGGATGAGCAATCACATACTCTCCAGGGACAAAGGAGACATCACACCCAAGCCGACAGGATTGAGCTAAAACAAAAGCCTTGAGGAAGAGAATTGGGTATTTTGTAATTTTAGTTCAATAAATGGGTAGTAAGCGCTTTTACTTATATGTTTATTGAACACTTAGTACCTGCCAGGAACTATACTCCACTTCTTATACTTCATCTTACTTGTTTTTATTATACAACATGTAAAGCAAACAGTATTATCTTCATTTTATAGGTTAAAAAAAGCCTGAGTCTTTGAAAGGTCAAGTGACTTGCACGAGTCATACCACTAAGAAGCAGTAAAGTGGAGACTGAAACTGAGGTCTGTGTGCTTTTAGACTTACTTTTAATGACAGGCTCTTTACCATTGCCTTGGTTTCATTCGTCCCCAACTGGAAGGCACAGGCAGGAAACTGATGGGGCAGTGGGATGCAGAGGGCACCTTCCACATGAAAGAGGCACCTGCTCCTCAGTTCTCCCCAACTGCTCTCATAGGAACGGGGACTAGTATTGTTTGAATTTTTTGGTTTAACATCAGGATTTTTACAAAAACTTAAATATCAAGAGCCACTTCACAGCAAATAAAAAAGATATTTTGGGGCCCAAAATATCTTTCCTACCTGCTGTAGGAAAGTGCGCCCACCACAGCAAAAATTCATCCCTTATCTCATTTTCCCTCCACGGAGGGGCTCTTCACTGCTGCTTCCTCCACACCTCCCCAACATTTTCTACTTGCATCCCCTACATGTTGTCTTTTAAAAAAAAAAGTCCCAGTCAAGTCATGCAGCATGTTCTTCCCAACACATAACTATAGTGGTTCCCCGAGGAGTTATTGTCCATTTCTAGCTTCCTGAGATCATTTGACATTTGGATGTGTGAGTAAGTGGGTAAGTATAAGGTTTGCTGCCTCATAAATTCACTGCTACCTGCTGTTTGACAACTTGTGGTTGAAAAGCAAAACTGAGCTGAATGGCAAAGATCTCAAATCTGTCATATGCAGAGGATACAACACTGTCATGATTCCCAGAGAAAGAACTAAGGGAATATTTGGGAAAGCAAGGGGCATGTAGGAAATACAGTGACTACAGTCTTTGAATGGCTTAAAGACAGCCCCAACAATACTAAAAACACATGAGACACTTTGCTTAGTGTTTTCTCTGTATGCTTCACTTAACCCTTGAAAATAATAGGGCTTTCATTCATGATTGTATGCCTCCAGGGCCAAAACTCTCTAGCAATATGCTCTACTACCACGTCAAATAAAGTTAATTATTCTATCTAAATTCAGAGGTTATTAATAAGAACAATAGATCAAAATTCCAGGGAAACAAATTTCAATTTCTATAAGGAAGATCTAACAATTTATGCTGCTCAGGAGGTCTGGGGCTTCCTGAAAATGTGAGAATTAGAAAAATAAACTGCCAGAGAGGCAGACCTGGAAGTTACCTCCCAATTCCAAGATTCCTTAGTTGCATCACTAAATTTCACTCAACATCATAGCCTGCTCATCTTTAATAAGTTTTTTTTTTTTTTTTTTTTAATAGAGGCATGTTTTATTTATTTATTTTGTTTGTTTGTTTGTTTTGTTTATACATGCACTGGGTACAGTCAGAAGCGCGGGAGGGTGAGAGAATTCACCAGAGCCAGAGCGGGGAGCAGAGCAGGCAGAAGGACCGAAGTACACTGCTGAGGGGAGCAGCGGGCGACAGGAGAGGTCTGCGCGCCATGTGGGATCCTCCGCCGGTGGCCGGGAAGCAGCCGGGGATCGAACCGGCGCCGCAGAGGCCGCGGGCAGCTTCGCAACCCAGCGCTCAACCGCTGCGCCACCGGGGAGGCCCAATCTTTAATAAGTTTTGATACAAGATTACCCAAGTGACCAGAAGGCCAACTGGTGCTGTGGGTCTCTCCTCACCTTTATGATGTTGGCACAGAAGCGCTCCCAAAATGACAGCTCTCCTTCCTTGATCCATGACATAGTTCTCGCTCTGGCAGAAGAACAAGACAAGCTCAGAACAAGACGCCAGCCAGGTAACCCTCGACAAGCAAGAAAGAATCAGGCGTCACCAGACCAGAGACTGCACACCGCTAAGGCTGATTTCGTCTCCCAGTTTATAAGGAACCCAATGGGACTGTGGGGACAGAGGCCTTTCCTCGGTTCTCCTGGCCCGGTGGACCTTGCTCCCATCCCCTTTTCCCCAGAATATACACCTACTTCTCCTGCACGTCAACACAGGCTTCCTGCCACATCACGGAGCCAAGATACTGACCCTGCTCCGCTGCTTCCTCCTCCCCCAGGACGTTTCCCACGGCGCTCGGGGTCACTTACCTCTTCAGATGTCGCCCCCGATACCTGCTACCTCAGGGTCTTCCAATCACTTATCCCCTCACGAGTCCCTTCCACTGCCCCCTCTGCGTCTCCCACTGCTGCCTCCTCTCCCAGTCACCTCTGTCTCCCCCCCTTCTCGCCTTGGGCCCCGCACCCGATCGGCTCGGGCCGGCAGCCTCCAACTGCTCCGGTGGGCCGACTCTTCCTCACGACGTGGCGCTGGAAGAACACGTCATCGCTGGGCGCTGGGACACGCCCCCTCCCGTCAGCCAATGGGTGGGGCCTCGCTTGCGCCCGCGGGCTCGGGGGCGGAGCTGCGCTGGAGGTGCCAGCGCGAGTTCCCGCTCCGGGGTCCGAGCGCGGCCGAGGGGTCGCGGGGAGGGCGGGGGCGGGAGCGAGTCACGTGACCGGGGGATTGGGGTTCCCCCACGTGCTGGGGACGCGGCTGGGGCCAGACCACCCGGGGATGCGGAGAGGTGTGTAGACCCTGGGCGGCCTCAGGCAGATTCCGCTACAGGGCGTGAATTCGGGGAGCCCCGTCAGAAATGCCGCCCGTGGTGGCCAGGCGCGGTCCTGCTAGCCGGAAGGCCGTGGAGGGCCGCAGAGCTGGGGCATAAAGCCCTGCTACGAATCTTTAAAATTGTGCTTTTGCTGTTTGCTGTCCGATTTAGTGGATTTAACCGATTGCTGAGGTCCTAGCCCTAGTCAGTCTCAGAGATGCACTTAATAGTAATCTATTTCATGCTAAAGGAAGGCACTCAGATTTTAGGCTTTGCAGATTCTCAGCTCTACCCAAAGGGCATAAAATGGTTAAGGCCAGAAAGAGTGCTGCCCAAGGAATGACAGGAGGGCCCTTGGTTAACACTGATAGAAAAATAAAGGGCATTAGTTCTGTACCAAATCTTTAAGGAAAAGCTGCAGAAATATGAGGTAGTCTTAAGAAAATGGGGGCTTAATATTCTCAGAAGTGCAGTAAAAAAAACCCTTTACAGTTCTCTAAGAATCGTCTAATAGTTTCTCTTTGCAGTCTCATTAAGGCAAGGAGAGTTACAGCACTGGTGACTCCCAGTTGATTGTCTTCCACCCTCTGATGAAAGGGTTCCACCAGATCAAAGGGCCTAGAGATGAGTAACCCACCCATGAATAGTCTTAAGCTTTTCCAGCCTTCCTGTTTTACATCCTGGGAAGTTCAATTTGCCCCTTGTGATTACTTCGATTTTGCAGGAAGACCATTTGCAGAATTCCGGTAGCTCTTTGCTGCTTTTAGTACTCCCAAGGTCACCACTGACTTTATGGTATAAAACTCCTGAAGTGGATATAAGAAACTTTTACCCGGGTTCCGCGGGTTTCCTTGCACTTTGAGTAGTGGTGGGTATGCGTCCAAGTTTTTCCTTTCTAAGCCCTCCGTTAGGGGGAGCTAGATGTTTAAAACGACAGTGTTCATTAAGACTAGCAAACTTGGGCTTAAATAAAATGTTGATGTTTATAGCTATTCAGTGTATCCCTCTGGCCTCGATTTCCCCAGTTCCACATATTTCCCTCCCTGGGGTGCCACAGGGGGTTAATTAATTAAGATTTGTAAAGGGCTTTGTGGACCAGGGAATAATGTATTATTAGGGTCTCATGCCCCAAACCATGGCCCCATCCTTTCATCCCAGCCAGTGGCACAGGCAACCCCATTCTTATGCATGCCAAGCTCCTAATCCCCTCTTGAATGTGGCAGCTTCCAAGGAAAGGACAAGAGGCCTTAACTAGAAACAAAAATCCACTGTAAAGAGGTGCTAAGAGGACTGAACTTTCAAGAGTGATTCCTAACAAAATGTCTGAACAGAAACTTAATGGTTCTCCTGTGACTCCTGAGTCTCAATCCAACAAGGTAGAATTAGGGGAGAAGAAAGCACCCTAAATATCTAACAAGGAGATGACAGTTTCAGTACCAATAAGTATTTATTCATTGTATTTTCCCAGGGGAAAAGAGAGGGGATGGGAAAAGTGTCAGCATGTGTTTTACAAAATGATAGCAAATGGGAAAGTACCCAGCAGAGCAAAATCAACCATCAAATAAACATTTCCCAGTGATGGGGTCACCAAAGCCCAGGGGGGGGCTCAGTCTCCTCAGTTCAGGAACAAGGAAAAGGGGTCAGGTAAAGAACAGACAGGTACATGCTTTCCTACCCTCCCTCCCCATAAATTCAAGATTTCACACAAAGCTTTGGTTTCTAGCAGTAAACATGGGAGTTACATTCGTCCGTCTCCTATTAAACAATCTTGTGGCCACTTTGACATAAGTTTCTTGCACCTGCATAAAAGTTCCTGAGTAACTTGGATATACATTCATCTTCCCTTTCTTGGTCTCCCTACCCCACTTTCTGCGTGGAAGGCCCCCTCATTGCTTCCCTACCCTAGGATTAGAGATGAAAGTGACACCGCATTGTGTATTTGGCATGAATCACATCAAGGGTCTTCACTCAGGAGGCTGGGAACAAGGGATAGTGTCCTTAGCTTCAAGTTTTTTGCACAAATCATTTGAGTTGTGGAAACAATGCAAATTCAATGTGTATAGGTTTTTTTTGGGGGGTGGGGTTGGGGTAGGTGGACAGAAGTTTGGGGGATGGAAGATCTGCTCCAAAATAGGAAACAGGGGAAGGGCAACACAAAAGAAAGGCTGGTTCATGACCCCAAGGGCCCCCCAAGTTTGCTTCAGATCTTTTTGCCTGGTGCAGAAGCTTTTGTCAAAGATGCTTTGGCTATTTTTCTTGTACAAAAAAGTTTGTAAACAATAAAACCCCAAAAGAACATGGAGAAGACCAACACATTATATTTACACAAACGAGGCCACCTGGAAATCACCAAATCAGCTATTCATGAAGCCCTACCAGCCCAAATACAACTAGAGGGGGCAGCAGCTGGGGGAGGTCAGAACCCAGGCTCAGACACACAGCACCCAATGTGTTCTATTGCATTTGCCCTGATTCAGCACAGTGAGGTAGGTCTACAGTGATCTTACAGCATGTAAACGAACCCCCCTTGGCTTAACCCCAGTTCTAATCACTGCTGTCACAGGGCAGGACACCCACTCTGGGCAGCCACAAAGAAGCCATCCCTTATGAAAGCCCAGAAGGAAAAGCCCAGATTGTTCAAGTGTAAAGGATTTTAGTCCCTGCTTCCTATATCCATCCCTGGGCAGCTCAAGATGGATACAGAGGTATCGTTCTTAAAACCTATCCCTAACAACTCACTCTTTTTCAATCACACACACGCACCCATGCCCCGCTGTGCATGGTAGGCCTCGCCCAACCCAGTGAAGGATGGAGCTGGCATGTAGAGGAAGCCCTGTGCCCGGGGATTAGAGATCTGGAACAGGAATCCTTTCTCACCCTTCTAGACAACCCTCACCTAAACTTGGTGGCTTTTCAGTGCCTTTCCCCTGCCCCAGCTTCTCCTAACTTCTCTGCACTACCTTTGCTATTCAAACCAATTTGCAATCTTCCAGTAAAAGGAGGTCAATTACAGGGCAATCCAGCAAAGACCTAGTCTCCCATGAAAACATGATCGGTGGAAGGGTATTAAGAGGACACTGTGGCAGAAAAGCCAGCTTTAATTGGCAAAAATGAGGTAGTTCAGTAGGCTATACACTCCAAATAGTTGTTCTCCCTGATGATAAAACAACAAAAGTATTCCTGCTGTGCAGACCTGGAGCTGCTGCCAGCTTATCCCTGAGATTGCTCGTGTACCTGAGAACACAGTGCAGGAATGAGGGCCTTAGATTAAAATACACAAAAATACAAAACCAGAATATTTATATTACGAAAAAAAAAAAAGTTAAATGCACAAGATACGTCATTCGCACACAGCTAGTGCAGTTGGCATCCTGGAGAAAGTGGGGCCCAAGGTGCAGCTATCCAGGGGAGCAAATAAATAAAATCCTATTGGCCCAGAATGGGGAATGAGCTTTTAACAGCAATTCTGCAGCTGCTCCCCCAGTCACCCCTTTTACCTCTCATCACAACCCACTGCTTGGGACAGTTCTCAAACACCCTATCCCAAGAGTGGGTTACAAGGAAACAAGATGTGGAAAACCCTGCCTTAGCCCTGAGAGTCCTTCCCACAGGCTCTAGAGGCTTGTGGGTCGGGTCCACCAATCTGGTCTCGTACTTAACCTTCGCACTGTGGCACGGGAAAACAGTCACAGATCCTTCTTTAAAAGGAAAACCACTCCCCTATGCAGGCCAATTTCAAAATCTTCAGATCCTAGGGGTGGAGACTCAGATTAAGCAAGCAGAGAGGGATTTTCCCCCAAAGCCCTCTTGTGCATCTGGAAAGAGCATGGTTAGAGTTCCTTTGCCTCACCCCTTCCCCCCACCAAGAGGGAAGAGGGGGTGATGCTATGGATGGACCCCGGCCTGAGTTACATGGCAGTACCAGCTGCCCCCTACCCACCCTCCTATCCCCACTTTCTCCACTCTGCCGATTGATGCCTGCTCCTCCAACTTCCTGATCACAGCATAGCCCCCACCCACTCCGGCTCAATTCTGGGCCTCTGGGAGCAGGGCAGGGGAGTGGATCTCTTCTTCATCCTCTCGAAAGTAGGCTGGCTTCCCCTGTGAGCTGGGGGCCTGCTGGGCCTTCAGTGGGCATGAGGCCACCATATGGCTGATGCTTTGGCAAAAGTGGCACTTCTTGGGCTGGGGTGGCAGCTTGCATTCCTTGGCATGATGGTCTAGACCTCCGCAGTTGTAGCACCTAGTACAAAGCCAGATGGTCAAGTTGAGAGAAGAGAGATCAGAAGCCTTCAACAGAGTAAGGGCACCCAGACTGGCCTAGGTCCTCTTGCTATACTCACTTCCCTTCTTGGAGACTAAGTTCCCTATTTTCATAAAAGGAGAATTATGACTAGATGATCTAAGATCCTCCAAATCTATTGTCTAGAAGATTTCTCCAGTTTCATGTAACTTAAGACTCTGAGATACCAAGAATACAATCATGGGCTCTCTCCCTCTACCTGCACTGCGGGACACACTAGATTCTACCATAACCTTAAAAATCAGTACTTGCCATTCATTAAAAATATAGACGAAATTAAAGGAGTCAAACTGTGTTATCCACTGAGTATAGAGCTAAGGTGACAGAAACCTGGAGACCTGGTGAAGAAGCAACAGGTACAGGTACCATTTCAACTCTTCCACTTTACATTTTCATACCCATGATGATCTCCTTTTGCTCTACAACCCTGCCTGTCCCAGGGAGAAGGAGCTAGTCACAAGTGCCCTCCTCTGGGCATCACCAACAAGTACCCTAAGCATCCACATGTTGCCAGTGACCACAGGCTTCATTTTATCTTTGGCAACCTGGTCCAAGTAATGGGCCAGATGGGGAAAGCACCCCCATCCTCAGCATGTCTCTCCAGCCCCACCTGTCGCCCTTCGATCTGCGCTTCTGCAGGTTCTTCCCTTTGGGGCGCCTCTCACTTCCAATGCAGAACACCCCACCAGGACCGGTGACTCGGATGGATTCCAGGCCTTTGGCAGACTTCTTAAAGGTGAATTCCACCGCCTCACCCTCCTTCAGGCTCCGGAAGCCCTCCATGTGCAGCTTGCTCTGGGGGAAGGGAAACATGGTGGATTTTTAAGGACCATCAAGATAATGTTTCCATTTATCAGTGAAGAAATTGGGACTTGAAGATCACTGCAATTATGAATGAGAGACCTACCTGATATCAGCAAAGAGCAATTACATGAACAGAGGCTGGAACATCTTTATTCTTAAACACACCACTTATATAAAATAAAATAAAAAAAACAACTGTAAAATATAAAACAGGCCCATCTACTTTCAAATGTCAAGATCAGGAGAAAACAAAGACTGAAGAAACCAAACAATTACAGTAATGCCTGATCCAGGCCTCCCTGGTGGTACAGGGGTTAGTGTCTCAGCACTATCAAGCTATCCCCAGCCACTGCAGCATGAGTTCGATTCCCCACCAGAGAGCTGACACATGGCACAGCAGACCTCTCCTGTCTAGCCCACTGCTCCCTTTCAGCAGTGTATCTCAGTCCATCTGCCTGTCTTGCTCCCCACTCTACCCTTGGTGAATCCTTACCCCCTTGCACCTCTGGCCTATACCCCAGTTCTTGTATGCATAAAAAAAAAAAAAATCTTTCAAAAAAAGAAGCAATGCCTGATCCTGGATTGATAGTGCACCAGGAAAATATAGCTACTGACACAATTTGCATGTGGAACATAAACACATCAATGCTCAATTTTCAGAATTTGATCACTGTACTGAGGATTATGTAAGAAAATGGTCTGTTTTAGAAAATATACACTACGACACTTAGGGGTAAGGATATTTGATGTAACTTACGGTTAGGAGAAAAACAGAGTAAAATGTTAAGAACTGAGGAAACTGGAAAGGCTATACTGGATTTTTCAGTACTATTCTTGCAACCTTCTTCCCAATTTAAAATTACATTACTAAGTGATTTTACCGCTCTTTCCACACCACCATATTGGTGCCATGAACCCCCAAAAGCATGAACAGGGTGAAGAGGCAAAGGCCAAATTCTGCTAGGTCGTGCTCCAAAGTCGTCATCTAGTTTCTGACTGTGAAGACGAAGCGTGGCTACCCTGGAGAATCTGTGATCATCAATGACTACAGAGCTGGGGACATTGTTGTGAAGCTCACAGGCGGGTTTAAACCAGCGTGGAGTCATCAGCTCCAGACTGGATGTGCAACGCAAAGATGTAGAAACATCACACTAGCCCGCTCCTGCCCCTTGGTTTGGTTTCATTGTACTGACAACTTCATGAAGTTGACCATGAAGGAACAAGACAAAAACAAGAAGGAAGGGATACCCTGTGTTTCTTTTTCTCCGGATGTTAATAGGGATGTTAATACATATGCAAATAAAATGCCTCAGTGGACAAAAATAAAACAAAAAGGTTACTGAAAGTTGAAGGAAAAAGACAATGTCTTGCAAGCAGACATATCAGTGGTTTAAAAGAGAAAAACTCAGATCCAAGTACATGGAGAAATCAACAGGTGAGGAAAACAATGCAATATTGTCAAGAAAATTATTTGCTTAGAAGTAAAACCAGTATACACTTTTTATGTGTACGGAAAATACAATCCAGAGGAATTAAATATCTCAGTTAAGAAAATAAACTATAAGACTTAAATTAAACTGATAAGACTACAAAAGGCCACTACTATAAATCTTAAGCAAAAAAAAAAAAAAAAATCAAACCAACTCCATTTTAATTCCATATGTTGATACACCAAGATTTTAAAAAATTATCATTTGCAAAGTACCTGCAAATAAAAGGGGAGGGAGAGTCCTTAACACAACAAGTGGCAAAACTGAGGTCAGAAGAACCCTGGGTTCCTAATTTGAAGCCCACACCCCCATTCCACCTGGCCACTCACTGCATCAGAATGTCAGCAGAGGCCCTAGCCAGATAGGCTCCATTATGGCCTATTAAGACACCCTAGGAGCTTGTTAAATATGTCAATGAGGTGTAGTAATCATAGAAAATGAAGCTCAGAGGAGGAAAAGGAACTCCTAGCCCTGGCTGAAGAGAACACAAATAAATAGCATTCAATATTTTAAGCTGGATAGAGAGTGAATATTGCAAACTGGGGCTCGGGTGTAACATCCTCTTTAGCAAGAAGGAACCCCCAATTCCTCAACCATTAAATTTATTTTCATTTAGTTGGTATTGGTTAAGAACACAGGCTCAGGTGCCAGACACATCTTGGCTCACAATTTCTGGCTACGGGGTCTTGACTCATGATTCACATGTAGGCCCAAGATCCTTCTTTCTGGGAAGGGTAACGTCACTATCCAAGGAAGATCTTGTGGCCACGGGATATCAAGAATGTGTACTCTGGGCCTCCCTGGTGGCACAAGGAGTTAAACACAGCAATATGAAGCTATCTGCAGCCTCTGTTTGATCCCCGGGCAGGGAGCTACCCACATGGCGCAGCAGACCTCTCCTGTCTCACTTGCTGCTCCCCTCAGCAGTGTATTTCAGTCAGTCTGCCTGTTCTGCTCCCCACTCTGGTGAATCCTCTCACCCCCACACCTCCCCCTGCACCTCTGGCCTGTACCCCAGTTCTTGCATGCGTAAATAAATAAATCTTTAAAAAAAAGTGTGCTCAGTAACTATTTGATGTACTATTATTTGTTGCTTTTGTCCTCTAGTTCTCCATAGAACCATTGCAAAGTAGATCCTATCGATACTTTCTATTCCCACAGGATCAGCCAGGGAGGGAGGTGATGGCTCACCCCATCCACTATTCTGATGTAGGGGAAGGGAAAGAGCTTCAAAGCAGGAAACAGAACGAGGGGAAAGGTGAAAAGACCCATCCTTCCTGATGTACAGACACAACCTGAAGTTGATGTTAGATCGGTCATTTCATGAGCTGGGACAGGAGATGGGAGAAGCTGGCAGCAGGAGATGCTGGAGGATCCAGACCGAGAGTATCCACCGCGGAGGGAACCCCAGCTTCTCTCACCTGCCTGGTAACCTGAGACTGGGACACTGCTAGTTCTGTGTCACTGTAGACAAGGGCTTGGAGTCTGGGGCACGAGTCCTTTCTCTGCTAGCTGGCAAAACAGAGTGAAGCCAGGTTTTATGGTGGTGGTGTGAGTTGCATGCATGAAGCATAGTTAACACACTGCCTGCCACACACACAAATCCTCAGAGTATGGCCATGATCGACCTCTTCACACTGGATCAGGGGAGGCTAATGAACAGAACATGGGTCCAGAAACTGGTCGTAATCACTGACTAGCTGTGGAAATTCAGAAAAATGTCCCCTTTTCGAATTCACACGCTCCTCTGTGCAGAGGCGCACAGTGCCTCTATACATGGGGAGAGTTTGAAGCGGACTAATCCTCTCAGGTCATCCACTCCATCACTGAAGGATTTAAGGTCTGTAAAGGCTTTCAAAGAGTTTACCCCCCCCTCCCCTGCAGTCACCTCACCATAACCGGTCAAGAGTTAGACTGGTGGTCTCCAGGGTGGCTCCCTGCCCCCCAAACCCGCCCCTTTCTGAGCACATACTTTGAATTCCTCTCTTATCAGATAGGTAATCAGCCTGCAGCCCCTGAGAGTCAGCCTCACAGGCCTGCATCAGAAAAGAGCCTGAAATTCTTGCCACCACCCCCACCCTACCCCCAACCACACAAAGCAGAGCCCCGCCCCTCTCCCCATCCCCTCCAAAAAAGAAAAGGCCTGGGGGGAGGGGCAAGGCTTGAACTCCCCCAATAGAGCCCAGCCCCAGGAAACAAAGAGTTGACACTGGTTGGTTCTGGTGGTCAGATTCCTGGAGTTCCAGAGGCTGTAGAATCCACCTCCCACCCCCCAACCATTCACTATATTCATCAGTTCCTTCCTTCCTCTTCCCTTTGGGGTTATGGTCACGGTGAGAGAAATGGATAGACACCTTTCTTCCCCGGCCAAGCTTGCAGGGTCTGCCAAAGTCACCGCCAGCAGCCATCTTCCCCTTCCCTGCAACCTGCTGTCCTGTCCTGTCCATCCAGGGGCGGGCACATAGGCCTGCGCCCCTCCACTGCCTGCCTCCAAATCCCTTAAACGGGAACCTGATTTAAGGTCATTTATTTAAATTATTTTAAAGATCTTGTCCCAATTTATTCAAACAAGGAGGTTAGGCAGCCTGTAGGGTCCCCATCTTGTAAGGGAAAATGGCATTTAATTAGACAAAACAGTTGCAGAAGACACTTTTGGGGGGATGGCAGGGAGGAATGGGGCCAGTTAAAGTACTTAAGCCTTCTGCTCTCTGAATACCTTACCACTTCCTAGTCCTGCTTTCCCCCCGCCCCCCCACCAGCATCTCATTCCAGCACCAGCTCAGCCCTTTATACATGTAGACAGAAGGTGTTACTGAGCAGCCCCGATATAAAACGGGTTGCCTGGCTTTAGGTCCTCCTTTAGGACATCCTTTTCCCCCTAACAAAGGGACCTTGGGGGCTACTCAGGAAATGTGGTCAAGTAAAAAAGCACACTGGAAGCTGAATTTCCTCTGCTTGCACCATGAAAGTTGGGCAAACTTCTCATTTGCAATAGCAGGGGATCAGATTCATGGTAACTGGGTCCCTTCCAGCTCCAAGGTAGCCCACTTTTAGCCACATCACCCCTTTGTAACAGGGTGGTCCCCAGGAAAGGGGGAGGTTCCCTGCCCCACCCAAGGGAGGGTGGAGCTGAGCAGGAAGAAGAGAAGCTGCAGAAGAGACTGAGGAAGGAAGCAGGATGGAGCCAGGAGACCTGGAGGAGGCGCATGGAGCCTAGACACACGTGAAGAAACTGTGCTTGTCTTTTGGTCGTGGACTGGGTGACACAGATGTGGGTGAGACCCGTGGGGAGGTGACAATGGCAGCTTTTATCTTGATGTTGATTTTGCTCTTTTCCTTCTGGGCTTGTCTGGTTGTTTCTGACCCTTTGCTGTGGGTCCCCACTGGAAGGTGCTTTAGACTCGTGGCAGGCTTTGGGGCCTTGCTCTGGGCCAATCCCATTTGGATGGACTTTTACCCACAAGGGGACGGGTAACTTTGGGTGCTTCATTTAGAAACTAG